TAGGATTTTTTCATAAGAGAAAAACAAAAAAAGAAAAAAGAAAGGAGAGAGAAAGATACGTTCATCGGCATATAATTGCCCGAAAGTAATTATATATCCTATTTGACCTAATTAATAAAGAAAGAGAGAGAGAGAGAGAGAAAGAAAAATAGAAAGAGATGCATTTATTAAAAAATGATCGGCCGTACTTTAAAATAGATAAATCATAAATCCATTTAGACTTTCTAATGTCTGTATATAAAAAAAAGAAAAAAAAAAAAAGGATACAGCAAGATATAGATAAATATACAGACAGACCGATAGATATGAGGTAGGTAGGTAGGTAGGTAGATAGATAGACAGACGGATAGATAGATAGAGATAGAAAGGGAGAAAGAGGGAGATAGAAAAGAGAGAAAGATAGAGAGAAAGAGAGAGAAAGATAGAGAATTTTGCTGGGAGGAGGGGGGAGCGAAAGAAAAAAAAATGGGAAAGAAAGGTAAAAAAAAGAAATTAAAAAAAAAAAAACTTAGGAAAGGAGGTGCGGTCGTGTGTACGATGTGGAAGAATGGAAACACGGAAGCAGAAACTAGTTCCGGCTAAGATCAATACCTAAGTTGTGCAGCGGACCGTCTGGCGCAAGGCTCTTTGCTTCTCTAACGCGCGTGCGGCCGCGTGTAGGCGCGTGTACGCGCCGCGTGCACTATTCTCTCTCGACTATTAGACTGTGCGTGCTCTATCACCTAGGATTAACCTAGGACCTATGATGTACTCTCAAGGCAGAAGCTTGACGGCACCAACCATCGCGGCAACGATCTTTCTTCCCCTTCTCTCAGATATCATAGTTTATAAGGGGGCGAAATTAGATGAAGCGGGAAAAGAAGGGAAGAAAGATTTTTCGATAGAATAACGTTTACTTTTTTTCATACGATTTAATAATAATCCATCATTCGATCTCTCCTGATGATTTTCAATTGATTTCAAATTAAATCGAATGTTTGATAATTCTTTAGACGCAATCTTTTTTCTTCTTTCTTTTTATTATTATCATTATTCTTGTTGTTGTTATTGTTATTATTATTATTATTATTAATACTATTTTGTTTTCTATTTAATTCGTAATTGTAATTATCTGTTCAGTGATGTAGAATTTTTTATACTTTGAATGAAATAGTATCGTTTATAAGATTTTCGATCGGTTTTAGATTAGATTGAGTATTAAAAATGTTCGATCTTCTTCAAATGGGATCTTTTTTCTTCGTTTTATTTTTTTTTCTGCTTAATTTGTTTTAATAATCCGTTAATGGTGTAGAATTTCTGCCTGTATAATGCGAATGGTGTGGAGTATGGATGAATTAGAATCGATCCTGTAATTTCCGCTCGGTTTAAATTAGTTTAGATATTAATAATGCTAGTTCTATTACATAGGAATCTTAATTTAATAATAATAATAATAGTAATAATAATAATAATAATAATATAATAATAATAATATAATAATAATAGGAATGATAATTTTCTGTTTCATTGATTCCAATAATCTATGATATTATCGAACTTAATCTATATAATACAATAATTAAGTAAATAGAAAATAAATAAAATTAGATTGGAAAAAGAAAAACTAATAATAGTAACAACAACAACAACAAGAACAACAACACCAATAATAATAATAATAATTGTAATAATAATAATAATAATGATAATAATAATAATAATAATAATAATAATAACGAGCCGCGTAGTAGTACGTATGAAAAGAAAACCATTCGTCGATGGTGTCGCCCAGTGACGTTGTCGAGGACGCCGATCCGTTGGCTCAAACGGTGCACGGAAGGAGGCCGACGAATTGCATCGAGCTACGAGTAAGTAGTAGGATAGAGAGGGAGGGAGTTGGATGCATTGATGGGAGGGGAAATAGGATGGGAAGGTTCGTCCCTGGAACGTAGTTCATTCACACGAGCGCGTCGTCGTATCTCGCTAAATATAATATGGCGGTGGTGGAGGCCGAGATCCTCTAGCCCATCCGTCTTTTCCCAAAATCTCTTCTCCTGCCCCCACCTCACCCTATCTAACCCCACCCCACCCCACCCCCTCATTCCACCACTCCCCAATCTCTCCAACTCGTGCTTCTTTTCTTTTTTCCCTCAACCTATCCCTCTCTACTACTATTACTACTGCAGCTGGTGTTGTTGCTGTTGTTCCTCGTCTCTCTCCCTACTACTATTACTACTACAACTACTACTACTACTACTATTACTTCTTATCCCTTCTATCCCTTTTTTTTTTTTGCAAACGAATGCACCCAAATTCAACGCCCCTGCGATTACGTTTCATCGTCGTCTCGCTACGCAACGCGATCCAGACGCGTTCTGTGGGGAGGAGGATCTCTTATGCACTCTGCCCTAACCTTCGTTGCAACTACTATTACAACACTACTACACTACTACTATGGTTACTACTATTGGTATTATTACTATTATAATTATATTAGTACTACTGCGACTACTGCTGCTGC